CAATCTACGCGATTCGTTCCCATTGCTGACCACCAAGCGCGTCTTCTTTCGGGGAGTGGCCGAGGAGCTGATCTGGTTCATTGCTGGGCAGACAGATGCAAAGATCCTGCAGGAGAAGAATATACACATATGGGATGGTAATAGCACTCGCGAGTTTCTCGACAAGTGTGGCCACACGGATCGCGAGGTGGGTGATCTGGGTCCAGTATATGGCTTCCAGTGGCGTCACTTTGGCGCAAAATATGGTAAATGCACCGACGACTACACCGGCCAGGGTATTGATCAGCTGAAACAGGTCATCGATACTATACGCAACGATCCGGCGGATCGTCGCATCATAATGTCCGCATGGAATCCTTTGGACATACCCCAAATGGCGTTGCCGCCGTGCCACTGCCTGGCGCAGTTCTATGTTTCGCAGTCGCGTGGTGAATTGTCCTGCCAACTGTATCAGCGCAGCGCCGACATGGGTCTGGGAGTGCCTTTCAACATCGCCTCGTATGCCTTGTTGACCTACATGATCGCCCATGTGACGGGCTTGAAGCCCGGCGATTTTGTCCATACGCTGGGCGATGCTCACGTCTATAACAATCATGTGAATCCCCTGCTGGAGCAGATGAAACGTGAACCACGTCCCTTCCCCAAACTTGTCTTCAAGAGGCAAGTTACGAATATTGAGGATTTTCGCTACGAAGATTTCGAAATTGTGGGTTACAATCCGTACGGCAAGATTCAAATGGAAATGGCCGTATAATTGATTATTCTTATTTTATAAATGTAAAAATAAACATATATCTCATTTTATCTCACAAGACTCAAAATGTGGAATTTTTGCATGTCAATAGTTTTCAGATATTTTCAAATGCCGATTTGGGGCGTGGCTTAACCTGTTCAAGTGGACATTCTTCCAAGATATACATATACATATGTATATGTGGGTATATACTCATTAGAGAGTGGCCAAGTTATAGATTTCTTAGCTTTGTAAACAACGTTAGAGACGGTTTCCGAAAATATTAAGCTCTGAAAAACTGTCGTCATACTGTTAGCTTAACAGACCGATTAACATAATCACGATCACGGTTGAATTGTGATTTTGTGTCAAGGTCCATCTCTAACTTACTGCACTTGACATAAATTGCTTTTACAGCAGCTTGATAAATAAATTTTGATTTTGAGTTTTTTCAAAATCAAATAACATATGCAAAAACAAAGCATATCTAATTGTAGTCCAATTGAATAAAATGAAATGCATGTTTAAAATCTGACAGTGCAGAGTCTATAGTGGATATATAAGACTATTTCTATAACTTCATATATTTGTCAACAAAATATTTTTTATATTCATATCCAATCTCTGCAGTATGTCTAATGAAATATAAATGGCAACAGAAAATGAAAACCCTTTTGATTTTGTGAACGGCATTGTAGTACTTTCATAAAAAGAATTAATTTTATTTCTTTCGCTGTTTGCCAGACCGTTTACTGTGTTTTTAAACTATTTCACTGCACACCTCAGCTTTTTAGACCATCTTGCGCAGCAATCTGTTGATCTTGTCCTCGCGGTTGCCGAAATCACCACCGTTTACGTAGTGATTGGCCTTCTTGCGCCAGCCGCCGGTTGGCGTGTTCAGCTTGAAGGGCCACAGGAAGTTGGAGGCGTACTTGAATTTGGGTCCAACGGTGAAGATCTCATGGACCAAATCCTCAACGCACTGAATGCCATGCGCCTTGCGGAGCTTGCGCTCGATAACAAAGTTATCGGTGATTGGAACACGCTGGCGGTTATGCTTAACAAAGCCGCGCTTGTAGATCAGCTCGCGCACCGACTTCAGATTGGGATAACCCCAGGTGATGTAGGGCTCGGCAATACGCAACATGTTGATGGTGGCCTTATTCAGCTTGATGAACACACCATTGTTGATCTGACGCAAACGGAACAGCTGCAGCACTTTGCGTACCTTCGGTGCAACCTTGTTGATACTGCAAGTGTATAATTTAGCAGTTAATAACAATACATGCGTGATTCTGACAAATTCACTCACCCGCGAATACGCACAACGAATGCCAATTTGGCTTCGGCGGGCACGTAGAACTGATTACGGCTCTTGGCCAAGCGACGGAGCTTGATCTCACGCTGATCAGCCTTGATGTACTCGTTCTGGTACTTTTCGGCACGTACTAGATTCTCCTTCTTGCGCAGGGCAATGACAGCGACACGCTTCAGCCGACGTTTCGTCTCTGCAACACGCTTGCTGATTTGTTTCTTGCTGAACTTCAGTTTGGATTCCGGCACAGCGGGCAGCTTTTTAGCTGCTGGTTTCTTAGCGGCCGGGGCTGGCATCTGTTTAAGGCACAAATTTGCATCATTTTTAGAACGGTTCTCGTTGAGAAATTTGAAAATATAGCACTAACCTTTTACTAGACACTATGCACGTTGGTAAAAGAAAGGGAAAGAAAGAGCGGAAGCTCGATGTACGCCATGTTGCGACTGTCAAAATATACACAAAGCAACTCTGTGCAGCAGTGCTGTTAAACTCTCTATAAATTCCATGGTTGTAGTTCGATAAATTACCGATAAGAAAAATCAGCTGTGATTGGTGGCGTTCGCCCGCGCATTTCACAATTTGTGGATAGTTCATTTTATTGCTTATTTTTAGTATTCTGTGCTCAAATGCAGTGTCCCAGCAGTCCTATTAACCATACAAGTGTCGAGCAAAAACGTCATGCACAAAATGTGGCCAGACAACAACGCATAGGCATGCCAAAGTTGCGCGACCTGCTGCGAGAGGTAAGCAAAAAAATTGAATGATTTCTTTGGAGCTAAACTTCTAAGTTTTTAATTCACAGAAATGTCGCATACGAATTTTAAATGCACGCAACGACAGAGTCGATGGAAATCGTAAAGTGCAACTGGTAAGTTGGTGGAACAAAATATTAAGAATTAGTTAATTAAATTTGATTTCTAGTCGGAGCTCGAAGAAATTTTACGGTTAGAGCTAAAAGAACTGGACCAGGATTTGGAATTGGAACAACATGTCTATGAGGAGCTGCTCTCCGATGTGAATGAATGGTATGCCCTACAAGAGCAGCACCTGGAAGCACTGTATACTGAGCCGGACTCCGATCCAAAAGATCATGAACTGATTTGTCCCGTGTGTTTGATCAAGTCGCTGCAGTGCTTCAAATCTCTATATACTTGCGAATGTGGTGCACGATTCAAGCACGCCGCAGACAAGACGCAATTGGAGCAATTGATTCAACAGAAAGTTAACGAACACGAGCTGCACTGCACCCAGGCGTTGCAGTTCTTCATAGAGGCACAGCCTACGGGCAATCGCTTATACACCATCTGCGGCAGCTGTGATTTTTGTAGCTCCATTTGAGTGGTTTCCAATCTCATTGTTCTGGCTGCGACCAGTTTTAAATTAGAAAATGTTTATTATAGATATAGATTATAAATTATGGTTTAACGTTCTGTTCTAAACATCTATTTCTTTAAGCTCTACTATGTATCATCGTCCACAATCACTACTTCATCCTCGCCGACCTCCACGCCGCAGTGCAGCTCGTTGCCCTGCTGATAGGCCCAGGACATGAGTTCAGTGGTAAAGTAGATGCCTAACTGGCCTCGATGATCGATGGCTATTAGGCCCCCTGTCTGCTTGAAATGAGCGGTCATATTTTGTAGCATCTCTTCCACTGCCTCCTGTATCGAATAATCCTTGTGCCGCACCAGCGCCAGGACGCGTGAGCTCAAATTGTAGCGCATGATCGACTCACCATGCCCAGTGGCTGAGACAGCACCGGCCTCATTGTCCGCATAGGTGCCAGCTCCCAGTATTGGCGAATCCCCCACACGACCCGACAACTTACCTGTTAGACCACCTGTTGAGGTCGCTGCTGCCACATTGCCACACGCATCGATGGCCACAGCGCCAACGGTGCCTGGAACCACGTTGTAAAGCGTGTCAGTATTTGAGATCTTAAATACTTTGAGAAGTTTCTGCGAGGCCTCTGTGATCAATGCACTCTTGGGTAGAATTTCGAATCCCTCCTCTTTGGCCAAGCGCATGGCGCCGTCGCCTGCTAGAAACCGATAATTCGTCTTTTCCATGACACACCTGGCCAGGCTAATGGGATGCATTATGTTCCGTGCCATTGTAACGCAGCCGCCTTCCAGTCGGGAGCCGTCCATGATCGACGCATCCATTTCCACATTGCCGTCCTGTGTCAGCACGGATCCAAAGCCGGCATTGAAGTGAATATCTGCTTCGAGGACCATGACCGCCTGCTCCACAGCATCCAGCGTGCTACCCGTCTCCAGCATAGCCTTGTAGCCTCGTTGCGCTGCCTGCTTGACGCCAAACTTGACGCACTCCACCTTGTCGGCGTCTATGTGCCCAGCACCACCGTGTACCAGCACAGTGGGCAATATAGCATCCTTGGCCAAGCTGCGCCTTCCCCAGGTTATTGTTTGACATTTTACAATTGGAAGCAACAATCTCTGGGGCAACCTAAGGCCATGTAGCATTTTAAGCGACAGCAATGTATCACGTATGTATTTTTCGATCTGCAGGAGGAGAACCTAAATTTGGGAAATAATAAAATGGGGAAATAAATATTTAAAAAAAAACAACATGGCAAGTGGCATGATTTTCGACTTTATTTTTGCCTATTTTCTATATTTTCAAATATGGCATAGTCAGCAGAAATAATTACAAATCGTCTATCAAAACCGGCTTGTTTCGCTTTCCATGCAGTTTTGCAGTCACAGCGACTTTCAAACTGTAGCCAAACACCGGCAAATAAGCAAAACACATGTAAACAAAAACAATGCAGACAACACAAAAATCAACAAACTTATGTAACGACAGATTGAGGAGTTAGTACTCGACAAGTGCTCAACTAAAATATACCTCGTACATGCATATTTACATGAAAATAGTACGTAAAATGTGAACTTTAGTGCCTTGCTGTAAAAATAAACATCATTTATTTAAAACTTGTTTGGCTTTGCTAAGAAAATATTGAAATTGAAAATTGAAATTTCCCTGCAAGTGCATGTCTGTAACTCTGTTTAATATGCCTCGCTGTGCTGTTTGTAGAGGGTAACAGAATAAACGAAAAATGCGAAAGCTTTCGCTCGATCGTGCACGTGCATGCATGCTCCGTTGCTCGGTCGCTCGGCTGTTTTGCTTGCAAGCTGGCGCTCTCCCTCGCTCTCCCTTGCTCTCACCCACTGTCTGTCTCTCACGCACGCACAGCTTCTTGAGCGAGAATTCTTCGTTGACCGTTTCCTTCAGTACGTTGCGTTACTCAGCTGCAGACGGTTGGAGCAGCTGCCACTAACGGGAAAATTGTTCGGCCTTCTTCGAATCAGTAGAAACGTGCGCATATTTCATTTAATGTCTCTACCGTTTTGTTTATATTCACAATAATTGCGATAAAACACACAAATTAAAAGTAAAGCGCGAACGCGGCGTGCGTTTTATGTTAATATACTATATGCTATACATGCATACACACATACAAACACATAAATATGTACATGCTATATACACATACAATGTGTGTATCTAAAATACGAAATATCTTTTGAAGCAAAACAAGTACAATAAAATAAGTACGTAGAGAAAACTAGTTGCTGCTCTGTATTTTTGTAATTGCGAAATATAATTTGTTTACATTTTAAATTTTCTGTGCGGTTTCCAAATATCGACATTTTACTCGTGCGCAAAATACAATGTGGCAAAAGAATCGTCTGGTCCAGTGTTTGTGGAAAATCTAAATGATATCTGAAATAAATGTATTCAAAATGTGTGAAGCTCGAAATTAATGAATTCATTTCTTCGTGATCTCTAAAAAGTTATTAGATTCGGCTTCAGTTTCTTTTTGTTTTGTTTTTGGGTTTCGTTAAAATGGGTCCGGTCTTTAATCTTATACGCTGTGATCAATTGTTCAATAGCTCGCGTGATACTTATGATAATCTAAAGACAGATATTTGCGGCATAGATCGTGTGAAATATATTTTAACATGCCTTTGCATATGCGTGCTGTTTATTGGATGTATTTATGTATGGAAAAAATGTGATAGGTGAGTTTCAATTAAGTTGATAGTGCAAAATTAGTTTATAATTCTTAAATTAATGTGTAACTGTATATATACCCATGTATGTAAGTATTGAAAGAGAGTGCGTACTTAGAAATGTAGGTTTTTGTATATAAGATAATCTATGAATATATGTACATTTAAATAAATATATTTATGCATTCTCAAATACTTTCGCTCTTTTCGAATTTTAATGCAGTATCAGTTACATATGTATATTCAAATACATTTATACACACATATACATATCTCCCCATATCTAGCAAACAAAACAATTCGTATAACTCATTGATGAAATATCTAATCTGATTCGTACATACATATATATTATATGTATGTATGTACATATATCTAAATTTTCATATTCGAATCAAGCCCATTATTCATTATGTTATATTCATGATCATTCCTAAGAGCCCGAAATTTCAACTGAATGGGATTTTTAAAAATACATTGGAATATTAATTGGAAAATTTCGTGACTTTCCCTCAAACATACAGATAGGAGAGGATTGACAAGCAACCTTCGAAATGTTTCGGAAAAGTTGCTTCGAAAAGTTTTGCATCGAAGCAATCGTAAATTCGATTGAAATCAGCTATGCGTACTATATGTGGGAAAATGTTTATTCGATTTATAGATTTCCGTTTGTAACCAAGCATTTGTTTGTTGAGTTTTTTGTTTTTCGTTTTGACTCTTTTTAAATTGTAAATTTTGCGAAATATGCCGTCTCCAATAATTTTGAAAGTGCTTATGCCAATTCTGGCGCGTTCGCTCCTGCCCCGTGTGGGACGGAATCTGGTGCAGAGCCGTTCGAAGTCCGTAGTGCTGCAGCGGATCTCCGAGGGTCTGACTGTGCCCAGGACACTATTGAAGCACCGTATAAGTCCCGTTTAATCGAATGACAGCAAATGTTTGGCGGCATGGCCTGCCGAGCGGCCAGTTAAAGCATATTTATTGAATGGACGCAACTCGAAACAGGCTTGAGAATTTTGTTTAAGAACCGATCCTAGCTGCAGTTTTTAATTTTTGTAATCTTTCTAGTATCGTATCAAAATTTGTGATTGTATGTATTTTAAGCCAATTGTAAAAAAAACCCTGAGTTTCGTAAAATTGTGTCGTGGAATCGAAAGCAAACTTGGGAGTTTATATGCAAAAGTCGTTAACCTGATGTAATTTGATTGATTTCTAATAATAATAATGGATCCCAGTATTATATTCGTTTTGTATGTTAGTATTCTAATCGGAATGTTCCTTTCCATGGGATCGAATTTACATTAACCAATTAGTCGATATACCTTTATATTTATACTTTTGTCTGAATACATTAATTTTGTCTATGTGAGTACTGATTCACCGAAAATAGATTATCTGATCGTTAGGGATATGCAGAGATTTAATGTTAGATAAAAAATTGTTCTATTTATATGGTCTTAGAATTATCCTATTTAAAAATATGTTAATGTGATTCCTATAAGAATATTGTTGGGATCCTAAAACTAATAATCATAGTTACAATATGCCAATAATTGTATTAATTACGATCCTGATGATGATAGTGACGATGATAATTAATATGATCATGGTGATGCCATCATCATTCTTATAGCACTGATCGTAGTAATAAAGGGTAAGCTAATAATAACGAAAGTGATGATAAGTTTTAGTCATCATGATAATGATCGACATTAGCTATTTAATGATTGAGTTCTAGCTACTTCCATTTGCAGCACTCTCGGCTAGAGCAGTCGTAACACATTTATGTTTGTTGTAGGCTTGCCGAGCCATATAAACTATATTTAGATTTGTATCTCTTGGCTTAGTGTTTTGTAACATTTTCACTGTCAATCCGATTTTCCGAATTCTCCACACCGTGGAGTAACTCTCTTGAGTAAGCAGAACAAGTGACTCGAACCATGTGAATATTCTATGAGATAAACAAATTGGGAACTTTTATTTAAATATAGCACATGCGTTTATAAACAACATGCAAATGGCAACAAACCAGCGCAGTCTTTGTATACATATACATATACATATACATATATACATATATACGCATATACATAAGTAAAAGTAAAAGGGGGAAGAGGAGCAAATTACTCATGTGGCGCTCGGCCAGCTGTTGAAATAAATGAAAAGCACAACCAAACAGACAACAATGAAATCAAAAATGTTCCAGCTACGTATTACTTTTCATAAAACTTATACATACAAATATATAAATTATATGTATGCATGTATATATCTGAGTATCTTTGAGATGCATATTTCTTAGTAAAACATTTGAATATCTCATTTTGTGAAAATCCCATGGTTCGCTGTTCGCTATTTAATTCGAATTTTGGCTTTTATACGTCCCCAGACACTCGCCTAATGACCGAACGACCGACCGACCGACTGCACGATTTAAATGAATAAACAGAACAGATGCAGGCACAGGCAAATGCATACATACATAGATGTAAATATATATTATATATCAAAAGATATATTTCCATCGAGCGCCAACGACAGCCGACGGGCGACCCAAAACACGAAATCTAAATCTAGTTGCAAAATCATTTGAATTATTTACTGACAGCCGTGACAAAAGTCAAATAGAAAATAATAAAAAAAATAATAATAAATAAAAACAATTCCCAGCAATTTCTAGAAATATTTTTATTGAAAGCCGAATACTCTTGGGAGAATAATTTTTTGCTGAAAGAGTATATTAATCATAATTGAATTTAAAGAATTTGTAATTGTTATTAATAAATATAAATTGTATTATTATCAATATTTTCGTTAACAATTTAAGTTAGGATATCTAAAAATTTATTATGTGAGATATATAGATGATAGATTATTAGATTATAGTTTGCGATGGGATTAAAAATGAACTTTAAAGGTAAACATAAAAAAAAAAAAATCTGTAAATATATATTTTATATAAATATATAAAAAAAATGCAATACCCATACAAATTATATAAATATTGCAATTCTTATATATATAAATATATAATACACATATATATGTATGCATATAAAGTAAGGTTATGTTCGTTTATTAATTTTGAAGTATAGTTTATATTATTTATTTAATGATAATGACTATACTGGCGAAGATAATGCAAAATATGAATGAAAATGCACAATATATACTTATATTATTTAAAATACATACATATATAATTTGGTTGATTTATAACATTTTAGGTTAGCTTAAGTTGGGTTACGTTAGATTGAATTAGGATAGATCATCAGTGCTACTGAATTGGGTTAGGTTCGAATGAATTAAGATAAATCTTTAGAACTAATGAGCTCATGTTATGTTATGTATAACTAGTCTGACTAGATTACTATATTTGGACTATACTAGATTACAATAGTTCAAACTAGCTGTAAATATCAATTCGATATTTTACTGCAAATAGTTTAAAAGTGTTCCGAAAGTCTTATCACAGCTATTTCTAGCTGTGTGACACGCATTTCATAGTGTATAAAGTGTCGCATACGCCTTCTGGCTGTGGATCAATGAACGTTGCTGTCGGTGAGGTGGCGGCGCTTGCGATTGCCTGTGGTTGCTGTGGCTGTGGCTGCATTGCGACGTCATCGTTGTTCTTTGCTTGATGTGCATGTGTACACATACAGTGATATCTATATATTGTATTGTATGCATACATTTGCCCGGCTCAATTAATAAAAGTTTACTCCAGTTTGCATACGGACGGCGAGAGACACCGAGGGACAGATATGTAATCAAGAGACGGGCACAAGTTTTCATAGGAATTTCGTTTCGAACTGTGTTTTGGTTGACTTTTTTTTGTTTATTCGATTGTGTTTTGGTTGTTTGGTCTTGTCATCAGTGTGCTTGGCCATCGAGTAGCTCGTAAATGAAATGAACTGTATCGCAGACTTGGCTTGTCGTGGCTTGGCGTGGAGTGGCAGTCCGTAACTTGGATCGCTGGATCATTGGTCATTGGTCATTCAATATGCGCATATATCTTCATCATCTGCTCGAAATGGAAGCAGCAGCTGCAACCGGCAAAGCATTAAACAGTTGCCCGCTTTGTCATTTCAATATTTCTTGTCATATACATATTTATCTGCGGTCAATTCAATGGACTTAATTAAAGTAACTCCATGCACAAATGCCTAGGAATGTGGCACAAATATGAATGCAATGCCTTTAAGCTATCAATTCATATGCTCGAATTGCTTTTGAGCAAATAAACAAACAAATAAAATTGATTAAAAATTGTTCATAATTATGATTTGTAAATTAATAGATAATATTTTAAAGTCAAATTTATTATAATTAATTATTTAATTATAATTAAAAAATAATAATAATATATATATACATATATATATAATTGGAAATTGACAAAGTTGATCAGCTAGTCCAAGTATAAATTCTTCGAAAAATCCCATTGGAACGATTATGTGCTTCCAATTAAAATTTTTATATACATATATATAGTATATTGTATATCATTGTATGACTTTATTTTTAGCTTATCAATTAATAATTTGTTAAAAAGAAAAACAAGTAATTGGAAATTGTGACAAAGTTGATCAGCTAGTCCAAGTATAAATTCTTATAAATTCTTATCAAATTTGAACAATTAGTGAGTAATTGGGCATTGCCCAGCTTAAATAATTAATCTTGAAAATTTATAAATGTCGTAAAAACTTACTCGAGCTTTGCATCTGTTTGCCATTATTAATATATTGACATTCCTTACAGATTTAAGTATATTTATATGTTTAATTTATTAAATATATATTGGATATACACTATAAACCTATTTTCCGTCAGGCTGTAAAATATTAGGAAAGGTTTAAGTTTTATTTCCTAGTTGGGCACTTCCGATTAGAGCCGACATTAAGACAAATTAGTCTTAGTTTGAATAAATTATCTTTTACAATTTAGCCCAATAACTGATTTTCCATCCCATTTGAACTTGACCGTAAAAATATCCAACACATAAATTCAAA